GGGGTGGGAGGGGGAGGTGGGGGCTGTGTATATGCTCGCTGTGAAGAATGCTCAACTTTTGCAAGTATGTTCCAACTATAACTGACTTAAAAGTTCTGATTAATTTACTATGAGAACTAAGGGGTGCTTTTGCAATGAGATATGTTGGCACTTTTCTAGTCGAGGGAAAATCATTGTTGTCGAGAAAGAAGTTGTTCTTTTGTGAAGATAAAAATCCAAATAACCTACACAATTTTTTCGTTAATATAGAATTTGCATTGTAATAAACAGGAAGACATTATAAGAACAGATACTAGATAGATTATTTATCAAAGAAAGAAACGATTGTGCCATTTTATTAGAAGTTGTCATCTTCACTTCATTAAATTATGTTGTGTCACACTTCCCTTGAATCTTCAGAGATTCAGACCTAGCTAGCTAATTGTTAATATGATTTTAGCTTCCAAAAGGAAGTGATAATGCCACTTTCATTCTTTTTTTATCTTTTTCATTTTGTATGCAACAGGTTCTCCGTGGGTTATTTTGAGTAGATCTTTTATGGAATACTGTGTTACTGGATATGACAACCTACCTAGAAGAGTTCTAATGTACTTCACCAATGTTCTCCTCCCATTAGAAGCTTATTTCCATACGGTTCTCTGCAACTCACCTCAATTCCAGAACACCACAGTGAATACTGACTTGAGGTTCTTAGTATGGGACACCCCTCCAAAATCAGATCCAAATTTCCTTAATCTAACTCACTTCGAGGATATGACAAATAGCGGGGCTGCATTTGCAAGGAGGTTTCAAGAGGATGATCCTATCCTGAACAAAATTGATAGTGAGATTTTGAAGCGACCACGAAATGGAGTGGTCCCTGGAAAGTGGTGTTCGGAGGATAGGGTGGATGTTAATATTGTGGAGCCAGGACCCTTTGCCGTGAAGCTCAGTAAGCTGATCTCAAAGATGGTTGCAAAGGAGAATATCAGGTCGACACAATGTAAATTTTAGAGAGAGAGAAGTGAAGGTGGGTTGTTAATAGGAAGTGAAAGGTGGGTTGTTAATTGGATCAAATGCTAGCTCCAGCTGCTTTGGCAATCGGATAAGCTCGAATAAATCAAATAATTGTTTGATATTCTTTGAACTGGTTGAGGGGTCACACGGGTGATTAATTTGATGGTGGTATACTGCTAAAGAGCACGAGAAGCTGGCATGGTTTTCCCGGTTCTTTTTTTCGGGTTTCTTCCTTGGCAACCCATTGATCTCGATGTTTTTTTGGAATTTTGAAGTTCCTCTGCTATAGGAGGCATAATGAACTGATGAATGATGTTGAGGATTACTAACTTATTGAATGTCACATGGCCCAAATTTTGTACTATTTTATTTCCTTACTAATAATATTTTGTGGTCTGTTTGATACGTATTAACAGAAGTCCTTTCCTTTTGGCTGATCAAACTTATGAAGTGTGCGGTTTGCAGTAATTTATAATTTCATGAATCTGAGCCTCTACCATTACACTTTCAGTAATTAAATGGTATTGTGCCCCCTCTCTGGGCCTCTGCCATGACATTTTCAGTGGTTCTCTCTCTCTCTCTCTCTCTCTCTCTCTTTCTCTCTCTCTTTCTTTCTGTTGACATGGTACGTCTAGTGCTTTTCGTTTTAGATATGTGGATCTCTCTGTCTTTTTGTTGATATGGTTTGTGGAATGTTGTTCCTTCTAGGTGTGTAGAGCTTAAAGAGTGCATGAAGCTATCAAGTAGGTTGCTATTTTTTATTGGCTTATGATATGAATTCTAAGAACCTTATAAACAGATATTCTCTCCATCGTATTCAATTAGCTTGTTGAACACTAGAATTGACTTGGCATCTTGAAGAACTTCTATATTTGAGAGAGAGAGAGAGAGAGAGAGAGAGAGAGAGAGAGAGTTCTGTTGACTATCTCCCTATAGTTGAGACATTTGTTAGATCTCCCTCATCGATAGGCAAAATGTTCTCCCCAATGCATTCACAGGTGTTTCCATTCTATGGCGTGGTTTTTATAAGGCTGAGGTCCCTAAACAATCAAAGTAAGACGTGCCATCACCATCAAATAGTATCGACAGATGTTTCAATACTGAAACCTTTTGTGATGGTCTGAAATTTTAGTTTCGTCTCTATATATAAACTTTAAAGCTTCAAATTAATGTAGATCGAACAAATCCACGAGCATTTGAAAATTTTGAAAATTAACAATCTAAAAAATGTAGTACAAAATGCACTATTTACAAGACTTGAAATCCATTTTTTCTGATGTCAAGACGATTTTTTATCATTGAAACAAACTTTTCTAATAAATTTTTGAGGCAGGTGCAACTTAATTTGATGGTTTATAAAGCCTGTTAACACTTGAGTTTGACATTTAGTAGAATTTCTGTGAGAGAGAGTAGAATGAGCTCACACTGCGTCCAGATAGAAAATACCATGACAGGATAAGAAAGACCATACATAGAAACTATAGAAAAAAGTGCATCAACATTTGAGGGAGAAATTTGGAATTGGAGCATCAATTTTGTAACATTCATCGTGGACATGCCACTGTAATGCCAAGGGGGAGGATGCTCCTCCTACTTTTTTCTTTGCACAATCACCTTCTCGCTTCTGCTAATGAAGGGAAAAATAGAGAGAGAAAAAAACTTTGCTATCCAAGTTAATTTCATTTGCATACAAGCACAAGTGGGATATAGGCCTAAGAGATGCTAGTGATCCTCCAAGTTTCATGGCACAAACACATAACATGGCTCCAGATAGGTAGAGAGAGAGAGAGAGTATTACACATCACTCAAAATTAAATGGACCCGGTTTCTATTAGGCCAAGCCTGCATATGTAGAACTGCAGGCCTCTTAATAAATCTATTTTTGAGATGCATTTTAAGACTTAATTTTTAAGGAAATGTAAACTCTAACATGGAAATCATGAATATGAAAAAATAAATAATTTTAAAAACTAAAAAAAAAATTCTAGCAAGGAAACATTTGGACCATTAGTTTCCATTGTTTTTAGATGGAACAGCTACTTGCATCCATCTTTAAGATGGATACTTTATACTTTCTAGACCGCATATGTAGAAAAACGGTCCAGCCCGCATGAAACAAATTTTCAAATTAAATATTCATCACTTAAAATTTGGTTAACAAAGTTACACTTTTGAAGTTTTGGCAAAAATGAGGAATTAGTTCACCACCCATATTTGGCCTGGGTTTCAGCTTTGGTAAGGTGCCCCTTGGCCCGTCTCTCAGCAAGCTCCATCTCTTTCTGTCTCATGTCATAGTACAATGAACTGATTTGATGTTTCCTTTTGTGCAGTTTTGATGGTTTTCCTGCGTTTGAAGGAGCAGGCTGCATAAAATAGATTTCCATCATACAAACAGAGAGAGAGAGAGGGGAGCAGGCTGCATAAAACAAATTTCCATCATACAAACAGAATGAGAGAGAGAGAGAGAGTTCGTCTCCAATCATTGAAAGTAGAAATCATCAGGTCTTTGATGTTTTCCCATTTACAGTTAGTTTTTGGCATGCTTGGCGACTCAATACAGCAAAGAACGAATTCTGAAAATGGAAGTTTCTAAAGGTTGCATGTGAAAATAACTAACTGATTTCATTCAAAAAAAAAAAACTGAAAGACAAGTTAAACACTTCATGAATCAAGCTGAGAGTTTCAATACCTGTCAATGTTTAATAGTTAATGAGAAGCTGGTATTGACTACATGGTACTTGTCAAAATCAAAGGAACTCTAAAAATTCACAATCCTAGACTGTACATTATAGTACGTATCAAAATATTAGTTATAGTTATCCATAACTGAACCAGCACGAGTTACTTTCAAACCTGCCGAAAATGTTAATGAACTCTGATCATTTCAGGAAAACCAGAATCCAAATCAGATTTTTGTGCTCATATTTCTGAACCGTTGACTATAATAAGCACAGATTTCAAACCAACATTTACCAATCCTGCTTCAATAACACCCAAAAATGAAACCTTGAAACTGTAAGTTCAACTCAGGCTTTCGTGAATGAAAAACTAAATGATACTAGTTCAATGTTTCGATTTACTATTTAGTAAGGGATTTTTTTTCTCATTTACTGTATATTAGACTTGAAAGCTTTCATTTATTGACTAATTGAGACCTATCTGACCACTTAAGTAAAAGATTTCAAGGGAGATATTCTTCTCAGTCATGCAATTGAAGTCATTTTTCATGGACAATGGATTGAGATTAGGCCGTCGAATAAGATGGTCTACTGATTGTTTACTCTTCCTTCAAAAAATGAATGCTAGAGATCCTGATTTTGAGGATATATCACTATTATCTTGTTTTTGTGAGGCAACGATTAAGTGCCACATCTTTCAGTGGGGCTTTCTCCCACCTAGCTTTCCTGAACAGGAACTCAAGTCACTTCTGATAAGCATATAGTACAAGTGAAAAAACCTCCTTTAGTAGTAGCTCTCACTATGAAAATTGTCAGGCAGTTATAAAAAACAAACAAGAACGTGGAGATCAATAGGTCTTTCTTGCACATAATCACACCCGTTCTATGTTTTTAGCTTTGGGATAAAGCTATGAAGGTCTCTCTTGATCACTAAGTAAGAAAATGTCCCTTTCTTCCTTCAAGAAGTAAATTTCTTGTACACTTCTCATGGCCTGTGTGGAACGTAAACATTCTCAAGAAGAAACATTTTCAGCATCATGGCCTTGAGTTTTCTAGGCAAGTATCCGATGAGTAAATAGGATGACTAGATGACAATAAATAGAGAATATACTATGAACTCTTGGTTATGAATCTAAAGTGGAGGGTGTGAGGCTTCAAAGTGGTTGTTCATGGTGCCAAAGTGGAGACTAGTTGGGCCTCAAAAACTATTATCACATGGACTGTTCATGGTTAATACAAGGTTTCCAGCGTTTTCCATCCCTTCACCATGATATATAATTCTTGTGGATGAGTAAGAACAAAATTTTCAACTAGGCATAAGATTTACATATGGATTGCGTCCTTGGAAGTCTTTCTGTATGAATAGTGTCCGCGGAAGTCTTTTTGCATTGCTTGAATCATTTAAGGACAGAACTTCTCCCAATTTTTTTGATCACAACATCTGAGGTCTCAGGAGTTTTCCACAGGATATTAGGATCCAGAACGTTTGGATTCTGTAGGAGTAGTGCCACAAACTCAAGTTCAAGCATTTCCTCAAAAGTGATTTGGAGATAGCACATTTTGATGGAGCTATAAGAGATAAGGAGGGGAGAGCTTTGGAAGGATACAAATGGTCGAGTGGTATGGATGGGGCGACATGGTTGCCAAATCACAGTCCTAACCCAAGTATTGAAATCAACCTAGCTATGGAAAAATTTTCTACTTCCTTCTAAAACATGACTCTTAAAAGATGAAAAAAATTCTCATGTTTATGGAGTTAAGTAAAATGATTTTCCAACATACTTATGGAGCCAACAAAATGATGGGACCCTTAATCATAAATTTCAAAACTAACTAGACAAATATCCAGCTTTGTTCCAGACTAGTACATAATTTCAGGGATGCGATGTCCTTGAGGGGAACCAGATAGACAATACAACATAAAGTTGTAGGTTAAAGAAAGTATATCCACAGTCCTACTAAATTAGAAGAGGAACCATCTTTCAGTTAAATAAATTACACAGCTTGAACACAACAAATACTTCAAATTTTATTTTTGTTCATAGAAAAAAGCTCAATACTTGTAATTAGTAAATGCTGATAACCAGAAGGCCAAGTGTTGTTTACTCCTTGATAATAAACAATTCATTCATCAAGTAAAAGAGTCATAGATTAATATGTGACAAGAAGTATAGACAAACAATAACATATGCAGCAACAAGAGCACCACACAAAAGGAAAACAAAAAGAAAGAGATCAAAAGAGGGACAAAGAAAAAAGGCTCAATCAATCAATCAACAACTCAAATGTATCAAATTAAGCCATAAACTCAAAATTCATGAATCAATCAACCCCGACTACATTAACCTAAGAGAAACTTATAAAACAACAGAAGAAGAAGAACCCCAAACCTGATAAGCTGGTCCAAAAGCAATCCCAGTTAGATTGACCTGGTCCTCTCTTGGCCTTTTACTAATCAACTGATCTTGCTTCACTTCAATCACATTCAAGGGAATCTCATTCCTCCCCCTCTTTCTCTCTAATTTACTTACATTCTCAACCAGAGACTCAGGCTGGTTATCAGCCCAATTTGCCACCCCAGAACCATTATTTCTATAATTCTCATAATTCCCTGCATAATATTCACCACTACTATACTCTGAACCTTGTTCATAAGAAACCCAATTAGGGTAACCAGTTTCTTGAGAACCATAAGCCTCTGAGGCATAATTCAAGCTCTCTGATGAAAAACCCATATTGGTTGTGCTATTATCTGATGAAAAACCCATATTGGTTGTACTATTATCTGATGAAAGACCCACATTGGTTGCATTCTTATCAGGTGCAGGAGCTTCAGTTTCTATCATAGATCTTCTCTGAGTACTGTTTCCCAATGGCGCTAACCCCAGGGTATTTTTTGGTGGGGGGAGAAAAGAAGTAATTCCTGAAGAGTGGGTTTTGGGGGGTGATTTTGTCCTGGATTTAGAGGGTTTTTTGAGGTCGTCTTCTTCATCATCTTCTCCTTCATGCTTGGTACCATCATGTTTTAGGGTTTTTAAGGGAGGGGAAGTGAAAGGAGAAGGAGGCGTAAACAGGACGACTTTTTTGGGGAAAGAGGAAAAAGAGGGATCGTTGAATTTCGCAGTAGGGAGAGAGGAGAAGAGAGAGGAGGATTTAGGGGTAGAATCGGAGGAGGTTTTACTGGAAGAAAGAGAAAAGGGGCCATTTCTGGAAGTGGATGGAGCACCGTCTTTGTCTGCATCAAACTTGGGAGGAGGGAGAGAGGAGAAGAGGGAGGAGAAACTGGAGGTGGGCTTAGCATTAGACAGAGAAAGGGAACTAGATTCAGAGGTGGGTCTAGAGAGAACGTCTGATTCCACCGCATTAGATTTGGGGGGAGGGAGAGAGGAAAAGATAGAGGTGGGTTCAGAAGAAGAGAGAGAAAGGGGACCAAATTTGGAGGTGGTAGGGGGAAGAGAGAGAATATTGGAGGTGGGTTTAGAGGAAGGGGCTTCTTCGCTAAATCTGGAGGCGGTTTTAGAGGAGGGGAGATCTTCTTCTGGTTTTTCTTCTTCTTCGTCTGAGGAGGAAGCGTAGCTGGCTAGCAAGGAATCCATGACAGTGTTTGTTGTGGGTTAGGCTTCTTTTCAAAGAGAGAAAATGGGGTGTTCCAGTATTTGATTGAATCAATGCGATTTCACGCCATTGAAAAAGTATCTGACTACAGATGTTACTGCGAGTATAAACTATAAATACTTTAGTAAGAAAATAAGAAGTAAAGAGAATGCACACGCCTCTCTCTCTTATGAGAAATTTTTGGACGTCATGAGAGAATGCACTCTCTCTCTCTCTCTCTCTCTCTATCTATCTCCATCTTTGAAGTTAGACACAAGGGATCCAATATCTCTCTTTCTCATGAGAAATGCCAAGTTAAGAGTATGCAATCTCTCTCTCTCTCTCTTGTTAAAAATATCATTGCTAGGTTTTATTAGTTAGCATTTAGAAGTCCATATGTCATAAGAAGTTTTTGACATTTTTTTTTTTTTTGACAATAATGTCATAAGAAGTTAGATGAGGTAATATGACATAGTATTGTAGTCCTATTAAGGGAGCCAATAAGAGAGAAGAGAACTTTAAGGTTAAGAGAGAGGCCACAAAGACTAACTTTAGAGAGAAAAATTAGAGACTGGTGACAGAGGTCACTAGGCCTAGAGAGAGAAACTTGTTCAGAGAGAAAGATATAGAGAGAAAGAAAGACACTGTTTATGCAGCCCACTAAGGCCAAAGAATTATTGAAATTTCGAATAAAAGTTTTCTTTCTATCAAAACTTTGTCTTCACACCCATCAAGAAATAAAGTTTATGCACATATTTTCAACCTCAGCTATCGGTTTAGGTTTTCATTCCCGCTTTCAAGAACCATTAAGTATTTTTAAAAACAGGTAGAGGCACATATTCCCCACTTATCTACCAAAAAAAAAATACAATCTCAAAAAAAAAAAGAGAATGCAATCACTCTCAAAGCACTCTATCTCAAACACATACACACACCCTTGTCTCCCACTCTTTCACGAGTCTCCCACTCTTTTGTCTCCCACTCTTTCACGAGTTAAACGTTATAGTTAAGTCTGATATATGCTTCTCCCCATCTAGCCATCCAATTTTGATCAAATAAGGCACTGATTGTTTAATTTAAATTCAATGCGTCAGAGTATTTTATTTTTAGGTTTTTTTTACAAATTATGTGAATATGAAATTTAGTATGTGTCATCATATCAATGGGACACACCTAAAAAATTACTAAAAAAACTTTCAATAAAAAATAATAACTTAAATACCCCATGAAACTATCAAGGGTACTTATGGTTATTTTATTTTATTGAGAATATTTTTTTATATTTTTACAGATAAGAGTTTTAGAGAGGAGTGGACGCCCAAACTTCAGTATCAAAATATTTCGTAAAAAAATTAAAATTTAAAAATAAAATAGTGTAGAGACGTAACATTATAACTAAGATCATCTCAACCGTCCATTTAAAGTGAATGTTTGGATAGGGAAAATATGTTATGCAGCAGGGAAACATAGAAAGCTTGCCTCTAAGAGAATGCCATGTCGTCTCTCTCTCATTTTGATATAAAATGCAATCATATCTCATTCTCACAATCACAAACTCGTTTCCCTGTCTCACACTGCCCTCTCTCTCTCATGTTTTCCTTTGGCTCAAACTCGTTTCCTCATCTCTCTCTTCCTACTCTCACTCTCGTGTTTGCCTTTGGCTTTCACTAAATAGTCAATACAATAATGTTTAACTCACTACTTTAGATCTAGGGAAAATATAGAACGAGACCATTTATTTTTGATACAAAATGGTCACATTAATTTTGACCATTGGATGTGTAATTGGGTGGCTACAATTATTTTATTGACCAAGCTCAAACTTTAAAAAAAAAAAATTTGAATTTTGTGACACATCACATATGTCCCAACCATACTGTCAAGTTTTTTTTTTTTTAAATTGTTTCATGATATTGTCAAGTTTTGCTCATCACTCTAGTCATGGTGATGACAACCATACTCTCTCTCTCTCTCTCTTTCTGCTGCACTTCTACAAATGTATATGTAAAATAGAGATTCAGTCAGCTTCTCTTTATTCCTTGGTAGGTATGAGCAATCTATTTAGAATTAATGTATATGTTTCAGATGTAGAAAAAATATGTAAACCAAAACAGTCCACAAGCAACAATACTACTACATAAATTGCATCATTTTTTTATTTTTACAGTAAATGGGATTGTGATGTTTCCAAAGCTGCCTCGTGTAGCTAAAAAGAACAGGAGATAGACACTCCCTATATGGCCAATGATTACTTTACAAATATAATTTCCGCATGTAACTGTCTTTCTGTAATTTTAATCAATTGTATCCATAATTCTTCCTCAAAATGCATGTTGAACTATGAGACAGCTACTTGAGCTGCTGCTAACCGAGCAATTGGTACCCTGCAACAACACATTCAAAACATATATATTACTATCTTTCAAAACATAGCTATTAATACGGGTATATATAACAAGTTGAACTTAGATGGGCATAAATGCAGGAAAAATACATGGATATACAACAAAAAACATATTTAAATAAGAAAAATAGGCAGCATGAAAATTGGTCTGTGCGCACATGTGTGTATGTGAGAGAGAGAGAGAGAGAGAGAGAGAGAGAGAGAGAGAGAAAGAGAGCATATTCATACTAGAAGCACTTTCTTTTCTTCCATAAAAGGGAGAGATGAAATCTCAGTCTCAAGATGAAATATAAAAGCGGAGTGTATTACTATAGTGATTCTAAAAGCATGCAAGTTGTGAAGAACCTGAATGGTGAACAAGAGACATAATCTAAACCCGCCTCTGCAAAGAACGCGACCGATGAAGGCTCTCCGCCGTGTTCTCCACATATGCCAACCTACAAGAAAATGACCCAAGAATGAGAAAATCAAAGAGCATTTCCTCCACAGGAAGAGAGAGGAAGAGAGGAATTCATGGTGAAACGATTACCAATTCTAAGGTATCTATTGTGGTTTCAAGAAAAAAAGTGGCATGCATTCGTAATTTTTTTCAAATATCTGTTACATTCTGATTTTTTTGGAATTTAAATTATATTTCTCATGTATGTATCACCTTCTTCAAAAAGGGAAGTCATATTTAAGGTTTTAGGAACAGATGAGAAGAGATAAAGATTGCCACCTTCAAGTCCGGTCTAGCTCTACGGCCTCTCTCTGTTGCAATCTTGATCAACTGACCCACACCTCTTTGATCCAGCACCTGAAATTATACCATGATCAAATGATCACAAAACCCACAATTAAATAGATGCAACAAATATTTACAAACTTTAGAACAAAGAAGGAAATAGAGAGAAAAGGGGAAAAAAGAACTTTCTCCTACAAAACGCCAGATAGAAGCATGATCTAAGAGAAAACAAGGCAAAAGAGTGTGGCATGCACAGGGAGAAGCCCCCCTCAAATCTATTTTTAAATTGGTGATAATTAGTAAGACAGAAACATAATAGATAAATGTGTACTCCCTACAACAACATAAATAGCTAAATAAATTTGACGAAAATGAAAACAACATATAAATGAAAGATCAGTTCTTATCAGCCAAACCTCAAAAGGATCATTTTGAAGCACACCATTGGATAAGTAAATGGGCAAAAACTTGCCCACATCATCCCTACTATATCCGAACGTCATCTGTGTTAGATCATTGGTCCCAAAGGAGAAAAATTCTGCTTCATCTGCTATCTACTAACAAAACAACATATAATCTCATCAAATTCAAAATTAAAAGGAAATAAAAATAAATATCTGCGAAGATGCTCCATATTTTCTCCAAGTGTCCCTCATTTATATTAGGACAATGGCCCACTCAAAGAAAAGGTGATTTCTCAGAGCCATGCATTCCCCCAAAATCATCAAGAATGCATGAAAACTGAGGATACAATTCCTTATTAATTATATGTCCATGATCTTTTCTCCCAATGGTTTGAGAGCTACATCTTGATTAGATTAAAACATTTTCCTTTTTGTAGAAAAGATTTAAAACCTTTTTCTTTTTTTTGTAAGTGTAGGATAAGTTGAGGATAACAAACTGAAACAGTGAGAGAGATGTGCCAATGTGTAGTATGAGGGATCTTCTGAAAAGTGGGTACCTCATCTGCCACCAGAGCTGCCCGAGGGATCTCAATCATTGTCCCAATTTTATAGCTAAGAAAGCTACCCATCTCTGCAAATACCTTCTCTGCAACACTTCGTATCACATTCACTTGATGCTTTAATTCCTGCTCACCTCAAAGAACTCAAAATAATTTCTCAGACAACATAAAAGAGAGACTTTTTACATAAATTTCAAGAAAATCATAAAAATGAAACTATTTTCACTAACCAACAAGATTTCTCTACTGAAACCAGCTAATGCCCAAAATTTTCAGAAACCAATTATCTTTCATAAATTCAATAATATTATTGAATTTAATTCCATTGAAAGATCCAAATATATGATAACTTACAGGAAAATCAACAATAGTCTAAGAGTTTTTCTTTTTCACCAATGTCCAAGGGTTTTATTTCAATTTTGTGGAATAAGCGAAAAGTATATTTTTGGCGGGAACTTTTAGGCATACCTGGGGTGTACCAACTAGGGGAACCATGATTTCAGGAAAAACCTGGAAACCTTGACGAGTCACAGTAATAGATGCCTCAAAAACAGCACGTGATTGCATTTCTGTTAGCTCTGGATATGAAATTCCCAGTCTACAATTTGAAGAATCAGAATCACCAAACAATTTGGCCATGTTGTATATAATAATTGCCGATATACAGATATAAAATTTTAAGACTTTTATGATTCCACAAGATAATTTCTCGTGGTAGGCTATAACAAACGGATATTCGAATAAGTATGCATTGAAAAATATCATTGTGTTTCTTAAGCATGGCAATAAGTCACCAACTCAGAATTATTGGTAAGTACTTGTTCGGAAAAATATCTCTCAACCCTTTATTTTTATGTTTCATATCTCCATATCCAAGGTTTTAAAACATATATTGGAACTAAAACATCCTAAGTTTTATGTCTTCTAACCTCCTAGACCACTTTTACCCATTTTAATTATATTTTTTAACTCAAACAAGACAATCCTTTTTCTTTCTTCACATCTCAATCCCCCAAATTGCTCCATCGTGATTCTTCCCAATCCCCTTCTCTCTCTCTCTCTCTCTCTCTCT